TATTGTATGTACATTTTTTTTTACCACTCGAGAAAAATATTTAAAATCATGATGGTTTAATTTTAGCATTTTTATATGATGAAATGCTTTTTATATTTCCATACTATGTGCTTTTATTAGCGATTTTACTTGACTTTCACGTATTTTTTGTACAGTAAATTACCACAACTTGCGTGTCACTGGAATTTTATAAAATGGCCTATTTTTAAATTAAATTCTAAAAATATTTTTGTTTTATTATAATTGTTTGTTTAATTCGTTTTCAAAAATATTAATAAGATTTTTAGTAGCATGCTTCCAATGTTACAAAAAATTAAATGTACAATATATTGTACAAATGCAGGGAAAGGGTTAGAACAGTCTGCTTCTATCTGTGGCTACAAAGAGTGATGAGTTTACTGTGTATTTCTGTCTGCGCAGTCTGCGCATGGGCCCGCTTGTGTAAATCTATTCCATATACATATGTATTAGACCGCTGCATGAGTTGATTCAAACTTCTTTCAATCTACTGAAATATCCTACTTCATATTCAAATTGAATACGGTTGCCAGACGTACTGATTTTATCAGTACAGTACTGATTTTTCAACTCTTGTACTGATTTTATTCATTTCTTCAATTAGTACGCTAATGTCCTGATTTTTAAAGTTTGTACTGACTTGTACTGAATTTTCAATTCAAACAAAATACTTAAGGATTTTCTTAAGGTTTTTACATAACGTTGGAACTTGCTTAAACTGTACTGTAAAAAGTAAGAAGAAAATAATTTATTTATGCTTTTATTAGTTATCTCGAAAATAACTTTTTTTTTACTGTTATTAATCGTCGCGGTCTTCAAATAAGGATGCATTTTCGATGGCATTATCCAGATGGCCCGAATTTAGCTTTACTAGTAGGATGTTTTCTAATGTGTTGTGACTAAGCCGATTTCGGTTGCCAGCTAGGACTAATTTCAGGGAAGAAAACGCCCTTTCTATTGTGACCTTAGAATAAAGAAAAATTATAACATTTTATTGGAAAATTCAAAAATTATTTTTACATACTTGAGTGGGTGGAATCGCAAAGCATACTTTGCTTAGCTCATAGAGCTCTGGATCACTTAACTGCCTCTCTTTCCAGAAGTTTAAAGCATTAATATTAGCTTTCATGTAAGGTAGCTTCAATGTTTCTATTTTCGTATAAACATCTGCTGCTTCATTTATAGGTGCTATCGCAGAGGATAAATAGTTGTCTAAAATTTCAAAGTAATTTTCTTCCGATTCTACAAAAAAATAACTAACTTTGACATTTTAAAAATAATAATAGCTCTCCACCATTTTTGGGCAGGGCCGCATGCGTTTTCACGTGGAATGATCCATAAAAATCCTATGTACTTGTATATTGCATATCTATGTACATTACGGCGGGTCTATTTGTATGGGAGGTTTTTTCCACTATGCGCATATAGCACAGGAGCATTCTACGTGTAGTTCTAAGCAAATTTGCCGAAGAAACCATGGCAAACCCCCCTCGTCAGTAAAATTAAAGTAATTTCCAATAATAAAATTATGCTTCTGCGGCGGCATGTTTTCTTTTTAGTAGATCAATAACGACTGTACAAAAGCAAACGAAAAACCAGTTGAGCATTTGTAGCAGCAGCGAGAGCAATTCAACGACTCCCGTAGCGATAGCAATAGCAGTAGCAAAAATTTCGATTTGCTATGCTGCAAACCGCTATCACAGCTATTCATTTGCTACGACTCCAAACAGCACATTGTTCGTTTTTTTGCTCTATTCATCTGCGTAGTAGTACACCCAAACCCAGTCGGGAGCCGAGAAATACAAATACTCTTCGGGTTTTGTGCTACTTGCTCTGCTAATGGTTTCTTTAAATCAAGACCGATAGCAAGAGCAAACATAAAAACTGGCAAATAGCGGAGCATTTTCAAACGCTGGTTAGATACTCTTTTCAGTTCACTGGGTTTGTCTTTAAAATTTTTTGCATATTTGAAAAAATTAATTTAAGCCATGAGGAAATATGGAGAAGTCCTTAAATAGTGGTACTTTTTCACAGTTTGAAATAATCATACTTATTACAGTATCCGACGGATGCCATCTTTGACTATTTAAACACTGAAGACGGAAATGATGTCATTATTGCGGTCTAATTATGTATATGGAATAGATTTACACAAGCGGGCCCATGCGCAGACTGCGCAGACAGAAATACACAGTAAACTCATCACTCTTTGTAGCCACAGATAGAAGCAGATTGTTCTAACCCTTTCCCTGCATTTGTACAATATATTGTACATTTAATTTTTTGTAACATTGGAAGCGTGCTACTAAAAATCTTATTAATATTTTTGAAAACGAATTAAACAAACAATAATAATAAAACAAAAATATTTTATTTATTATTTATTTAGAATTTAATTTAAAAATAGGCCATTTTATAAAATTCCAGTGACACGCAAGTTGTGGTAATTTACTGTACAAAAAATACGTGAAAGTCAAGTAAAATCGCTAATAAAAGCACATAGTATGGAAATATAAAAAACATTTCATCATATAAAAATGCTAAAATTAAACCATCATAATTTTAAATATTTTTCTCGAGTGGTAAAAAAAA